TTTTATCTTACAGAAACTGAACAAGTTATACTTTCCAAGCTTAGACTAATTGACTTCACCCCATGGCCTATGACAAATAACAGCATGCTGGTTCCTTTTTCAAGTGCATAAGGAGGAAATATGTGCTTGAAGTAGGTGTGTACGGTAGATCATGGTAACAATAGAATAGGCATACAAATACAAATGTAAGGCATGCTCACACTTTTTCAAAACACCATTCAATTCTCCACTTTGATTATAAATGGTAACTCTGTCATAGCTGAGTTAGTGACATTAGGTAAAACCAGGTTGATATTACCTTTGGAGCGAAAAAAGATATCTAAAGCTACAAAAGATGTAAGGGCATTGGCCAGACATACTTGTTAAACAAACAGTACAGTAAAAATGAGCTGTAGTCTATATGTAATATTAGATAACAATACCTACATTGTTCCATAATGTTTACATATATTATTTATACAACTATCTATTGTTACTAGTAAATCAATTCATACCACTGGTATTCTAGGGGAAAAATTAAATTACAGAAATAGTTCAACTTGAATGAATAGAGCAAAATATTTCAAAGAGGAAAATGTGATTATTGAATAGTTATACTTAAATGAATAGAGCAAAAAAAAAAAAAAAGTATACGAATTAGGTATTAGGAGGTGACAGACAATTCCCAGGTCAAATCTAGAAAGCACTGACATTGGCATCAGAATTTTTCTGAGCAATATTAGAAGAGATATTGATTTAGTCCTTATCGAATGTCAAACTAAAAATCCTGCTATCCAGTTCCCAATTTATTCTTCCTATTTTAAGGTAAATATCGGTGTTGAATAAAAACAATTGAAATCTTTCCTCTTTCAAGTTCCTTCAACTTTTTCTATAAACATCCTGACAATCATACTTGTCGTCTCCATGTCAAAATATCATAGTCAATAAATAATATCAGACTTACATGACATTTAGATATGTCTGTTTGTGATATTAACAATAAAAAATAATTACCAGTACTGTCAAAACTCTTAAAATAGATATTTTTACCAGAAATAAAGAACTAGCTTACCTTCTTCTAAAGATTTGGCAAAATATACAAGAAAATTTCACCTTAAAATCTTGAAGAATTAATTGAAAACTAGTAACAGTTGTAAATACAATCAGCAATCATTTCAAACAGGAAGTTACTATTTCCACAATTTATTTTATTTACGTTTAACCAATGCTGGTTTTAATCACAAGTCAGATCTTTTAAAACTTTTAACTTTGAAGATAAAACAGATTACAAGAGATTACGAAGAGGAATCCAGACTGGAAAATGTTTAAAAGACTTGATAAAAGTAGGTATAAGAGGCTTGATGTAAAAAGTAAGAGATATTACAAGCTATAAAGTAGTACAGAATACTTTGTACTTTTGCAGGACATAGAACCAAGATCATTCTTGGCCTACTTAACAATTTAGCAACAGGACATCTTGAAGGTCTATTCAGACACAACTGCCAATTCATTTACAACAGATATTAATTACAAGAATGGTAATATAATAAGATATCAAGTAAGATACCACATTAAAATAGGGCATGTTTTGGATAAAGGTAATTGGGAGTCCTTATCTAAGTTTCTACTTAAAATAAAATATTAGTGGATAGTCAATGAGGGCTTACAACACTTAGACTAATAAGTACTTTGAAAAAACCAAGATTAACCGAAATATAGAACTTGTAGACCTAGTATTAAGATACATCTGGCTTACTATAAGATATGTCAGAACAAATTACTTATATTCTAGCTAACTTTGGGCAAAGACAGATTTTCTCAAACACAGGTATAAAGTATAAATCTGTAAAACAAGATGTTTTTCAACGCCTACCTTCATTTTTCACAATATAAATATGACTGGATATAACTATACAACATGTAAAATGTGTCTACCATCTGTCAGTTAGGTAAAGGTAACTGTATTCAACTAGGTCAAGACAGGTAAAAATATCAACATTCAAATCTTACTGGTCTATTTTGATTGATTAACCTCAAGGCGCACAGTTCATCATTATTTCAAATCGAATGAAGATATCATTGGCTAGAATATTCAAATAATCCATTTGCATTGATGATATTATTTTGAACACGTGCAAAGATTTGTGTATAAATGTATTTATGCATAATACAAATTCAAAAGAATTTTACATTCTAATGAACATTTAAGCTTAAAGAAGCACCTACAATATCCATTCGACCAATTATACCTTAGTTTCAGAAACAGTAACTTTTTAAGCTTACATAATCAGTAATAGTGTTCACAGATCATCGTCGAAATTCGAACCTTCAAATTCATGTGTATCCATAATTATTCACGTTTGAAAGTTAAAAATTGAATTTTAGTGAGACTATGCCATATATAGAAAACACATATATAGAAATAGACAGTGAAATTTCTAGTTTGAGGTAGGCTATAGTGGAAGGGATTATGCGATTTTCATGCATTTTAGTACTTCTGAAGACTATTAAAGCACAAAAGACCCAAAATATTGCCCGAAAATGCTGACTGTTCCCTTTTAACCTTGTAATCAGGACTTATATATTGATTTAACTATGTTTAGAAATGTTAAAACTACATAACAAAGATTTACATTGAATGAACACTTCGTAAAATTTTCCATAATGTATAATTAAATGCAATCATTAACATGCAACACCTGCACATTTTATACAACATTTGAAACAGGATTGTGAATAAGTTCTTTTTTATGTTGATCAAAACACAAAGGCAATATGGCTGTAGTGTAAAATATCTTGTTTAAATTATTCAACATGACTGTAGGTATATCATTAAGTTTGATAGAAACTTTTAAGACATGTTTAAATAAGATTTTATATTTTAATTTTTAATAATAGAATTAATTTTATTATTCAGAACACAAATAAGCCTAGGGTGGGTTTGTACTTGTTATGTTACCTTCTTTCAAATACAAATTATCTATGTATGAAGTACAGTACCTATAGTTCTAGGAAACTAGGGAGATTAGAAAAAGGCATAAAACTGTTATTATTAAACTAAAATAAAATTGAAGGGAGCTGATCCATATTTCATTTTCGTGTAGTGTAATGAACAACTTTTTTTTTAATGGGACTTGATAATTTGTAGGCCTATCAGTCAATGAATGAAAAAATGTGTTAATAACATCTAGCTAGTGTATCAGTGACAATATTTTGTAAATAAGGAAGTTAAAAGAGGTGAAATAATCTGACCATTTAAAGATAGTGACAGCTGATGATAAGATTTTAAAATTGATAGGGATTGATGGACAACAGTAGTCTCATTACCCCCTTTCCCTCCACACACACACAAACTTTTTCAATCATGCAATATCTTATCCTATGACACAAGAGAACCTTCTCCTGAGAAATGGTGTCAAGGCCACTATTAAAACTATAAACAGAAGTTTCAATCTGTCATACATATTGATTCAAGAACATGAATCACTTGAAATCTGAGATCATAAAAGCACAACAGGTGGAAGCCAATTGATTCTAAAAGATCAGGGCATTCTGTTCAAAATATTCACCAGTGAGTCTGTCCTCATGTTAACTAAAAGTAACTCTGTCAAAAGCATCAACTACGTTTTTAAAGTCCCATCCCTGATGAAAAATGAGAACAAAAAAAAAACATGTCTTTCAATCATGACACTTCAAAGTTTTATAATTTCGAAAATAAAGCACAAATGGTGGTTATTTTATAGGCAGATGGTAATTTAAATCAAAATCTAGCAAAAGACTCACCTTTGGGTCACAAAATATCCTTTATTTGAAAGAAAATCGAGAGTTTCTCAACACTTGGCAGGTTCCCCCATATTTCTCTGAATGGTGTCGAGGTGAAGGTCGTCAAGGGAAATAACTCCACTTTTCTAAACCCCCCTTCACCTACACATTTCAGACCACTATTAACTCACTATAACCATGCACCATGCATTAAGAAGAAATTTCAAGGTTTTGAAATATAGTTCAAGTCGGCTTCCTTCAATTCTTGCTCATTGAATATTATCATTTTAAATTTAAAAAGTGAATATTATCAAATATCTTTTTTTTAGTAAATTTTGGCAAAACTCAAGCCCTCAGACCTATCAGAGAAATGATATCTAATAAAGTCTGTAAGAGGAGGGTTAAATATCTACTGGATCATTCAAGCACATGATTTTGATTTAAGATATGAATTTTTTGAATGATGATGAAAGGTTAAGTAAGGTACAAGGGTAAAGAATTGTAATGGATCATTTGTGATGAGGTATTTTAGTATTTAGGAGGTATTTTAGTATTTAGGAGGTATTATGATCAACACAATCATGCAAAATGCTTAGGGGTTGGGTTTATTATGGAAGGGAATACATGCATATCTCACCTCTCTAGAACCACTCCAAGTCTAATGGAGAAAAAAAAGGAAAAATACAACTACAGTTCTAATTGTGAGATGAAACCTAATGGTGAAAGGATCGAAGAAAATACTAAGTGTAAACAATTTTTCATTTTAATAGTGTATTACTGATACCATGTGACAACGCTTAATGTATGGGGGTGTCGGTGCATTCAAATTAGGTAGAAAATAGAAATATACAAGTGTGCAGGAACCACTGACATATATTGAATGAACAAGGGATATATTTAGTACAAGTGAGCTGGGAAATAAAAGAGAATTGGTAGATTGAAAGGGATAGAAATCCCATGAACTTCAAGGAAGTCCAAAATTCTACACAAAAAGAAGTTTCACATGAAGCTATCAGACATTTGTCAAAAAAGAGCCAAGGTGAGACAAGACTAAAGGGGCCCTCTCACTATAGCAATAATCATGTGTAAGGTTGTGAAAAAGAATCTTAAATTGGGTTTGGAACTCATGATCACTTTCATTATTCCTAACTATTTGTAACTGTTAATCACTGTTGTATGAAAGGCCCGTTAATCAAGTAAAAGAGGTCTTTTCGCAATCTGTTGGTTTAGATTGCTAAAAATATTTCTAAAAAACTCACCGATTGTAACATTTCTTCTGCGTCAATCAGCTGACCTCGTCTAGAATCAATGGTATATTCTAATTCGTTAATTTTCTCTCCCTGAGCTTCAATTTGGTCTGACAGCACACTGACTTGTAACATTAGACTCTGTTTCTCTGATTCCAGTTTCCGAATTCTGTCTTCAAGTGTTTCTGTGAAGTAGCCATTTACCTGCAGAAGAAAAACAAATGTTTGTAAAGACTCGGCTAACAAAAGATGATCTGATATGTCATGTAAGAAATATCAAAATAAACAAAGCTTCTTTAAATCATGCTTTCAATAACCGTCATGTTTTTACGATTTGTCAGTCCATTTCACAGAATTAGAGGGATATGGTAGTCAATATTACATGCTTTATCAGCACATTCAGCTATCCATAACACTTTTCAGACACTAAATCTAACACATGGTTGCCCAACAATTCAAGAAAATAAACCATGAAAATTAAGAATGTTATTATTACTTCCAGGCAGCTCTAATATGCAGTTATTGCTTACAAAATGCTTTTAACTTCCACTAAACAGAAGTAATTATGAATTAGAATATATTCAAATGTTATAGCAACATGTCTCCAATCTTATATAAACTATAAATAAAATAATATACAAATATTATACAAACACTTGATTATAATCATATCATTAAGCTAATTAGTTAATTAGGTATCATATGTCAGCCATTAACAAACTAACCCCATATATTTGTCATATTTATATTTCATTTATAATAAACAGCCACAGTATATCAATTTCTGAACTTAAATGTGAACTTGCATGTCAAAATGAACATTGTCAAGAGTGAAACCATTTAAATGTTTTAAAAACTTTAATGTAAATTTATGGGCCATGAGCACAATTTCGTGTGGAGTTTAGCGCTATATAAATATACACATTATTATTAATTGCATAAGTACTGAAAAGAAACTGAAACACACAAAAAATAAAGACAGCTGTATAAATATAATGTAAAAGAAAGTAACTGAAGGCATTAGATTGGTTAAGGATTTATCAATCCTTTGGCAATATCTCAAACCAATTAGACCAAACTCTCATTCCTTTATATAGCCACTTCAGTTTGGGTCTAACGACAGCCCTCTTAAACGTACATTAAATCTGATAAACACCATGTCACAAAATGCCAGAGCTGGAGAAGGTAGAAATTTGATTGGTTAAAGCTGATGTCATCAAGTTAGGTCAAAGGCTAATGTGACGAATGATCAAGAGGGCTGTCGTTAGACCCTAACTGAAGTGGCAATATCAAAAATAAAAGCTAACAAAAAAACTGAACGAAAGATTCGCAATATCCGTAAAGTCCTACATTGCAAGTAGAATTTATAATACAATAAATACCAAGATAGGTACACTACTGAACACAAACTGTGTTACTTTATTCAACCCAAAAAATGATGATGTGTACAGTTTATATAACAAATTTAAGATGACATAAAGAATCGTGCTGAGTGAAAATTAAAACCAGAAAGTCAACTACATAAATTTAGACATAAACATTAAAATTTGTCATAAAAATATTTCAAATGCAGTTTTCCTTAAATATCCTGTCACACTAACTGTTGAAATTTATTATCACTCATCTTCACAATGTCAAGATATTACGAACTGTGTCTTATACCTTGACTACTACAACAGCCACCATCCTTGAATACAGCAATTCGATTGGATTGTATGCCACTGTATACGACCAGTGTCATTGGCTATTGCAGTCAAGGTATAAGACAAAGTAAGCAATAGCTTGACATTGTGAAGATGATTATCTGGCTTTACAATCATAAAACTTTGAATTACTTTACCACCAAAAGAGGAAAATTGTCAGAAATAAGATCTTAAGAAAATTCAAGTATTGAAGAATTGGCACCAAATGAAAAATTAAATTTGTATCAGTAATTTTGATTTCAATATATATATATTTCTCAGTCATGTTTGACTGGTTTAAAGGTATTGTACATGTAATTCTGTACGGACAGATTTGTGAGAAAAAAAAAAACAATTTCCTCATTCACAATCAGATATCTGAGCTTCCATTAAATATCATGACCACAACTAGTCCGAAAAAAATTAGTTAAGCAGATCCGAGGTATCTAAATAGGTTTAAAACACCCGCACCTTTGGAGATGCATAAAGTTCCTATTTTACAAGTCCTATTTTTTCTGTCTCTACACAAGCCAGACGTATGTTCAAATAGCCATCAGAGGCTGGAATAGAGATAGATGCTTTGGTCTAGCATTGCCTCCAAGAAATATTTTTACATAGTCACCATTAAATCCATACGAAACAGTCAACACAAAAAGAGATAGGTCTTAAACTTTTCTTAATTATTTGCTTTACCAGAAGAATCACTTCTCATAATTCAAATCAAATAAAAAAAAAATCATACTTTTTAAAACATTATATTAAGAAGGTTTTTAACACATTCACACAGTCACAGTTATTGCAGATATTATGAAGTTATTGGTAATGAGCATGACTGCATTTGATTATTATCTTTGACATTGTCTTTCTAAATATTGAATGTAATTGTAGGTGATGCATGATCCATCATAAATATATCATGACATAAACAGTTGATGAATCATGAAGGATTTTTTAAATCTACTCCATGAAAGGAGATGAAAGGAGATGTATTTATCCATCAAAATTCATGACACCTATAAGCTTAGTAGTAGAGAGTTGATTTTATAAATCATATATTTTATCCTCAAATCCTAAAGTAATTGTAGAGAGGTTTGCACTTTCCAATTTTCAGTCAGATGTCTGTGGTTCTTGCAATTCAACTAAATCTAACAGTTTTGTGATATTGCTAAGTTGTTTTTTTTTTAGGGAATTGCAAGAACCACAGATCTCTAACTGAAAATTAGAATTTTGGTATATAATGCTATCAGTGTCCTGCATTTCTATTTATTCCTCTAAGAATATATACTTTCATATATCTTACCACAATAAATCATCACAGGTAAAAGTATAATGTTTCAAACTAAATATACTTGACACAAACAGTTGAAATTGTTTTATAGATGATTTAAATGTACATCTAACAAATAAGTTTCTAAATCTGTTTTAAAAAGTTAAAAAAAAAAAACACACCTATTTGTCATATTCGGTAAGTAATCAGATCACACAGAGTTAAAACAAATCCTTCAAAATCCGAGACCAAAATACAGTACAACCAAGTTTCTATCTCCAATACATATTCCACAAAATTAGTCCACTGTAATTGAAAAGGCACCTCACAAAGTGGTTAAATAACTTGAATGAAATGGTTATATAAAATTATTTGAAAGCAGTATCACCAATATTCATTAAGTCAAGTTATCTTGTTAATAAAACACATCAAGTAGTTTCATCAGTCTTGTTACAGTGTAGGGGACTGTCATTAGTATCAAAACAGGTTGGTTAGATTTGTCACTTGCCTGATGTCAAGATGTTTAAGTAATATTTATCATGGTCTTCAGATGTTCGGGCAATTTGCAAGAGAAGACAAAAGGTTTGTGTTGTGGACATATATATATTGGTGTCTTTTGTGGGGCAAAATGTGAAGACCTTAGCAATCTCTTTAAACTCTTAATGTTCAAATAAGAATGCATGAGATCATGAACTATTTATAATGGCTTAGGAACAATGTCACATGACACAGGACATGACATGCCATTGTTAAACTTTTGACATTGGTCAATAAAGAGGGCATATCTAACCGTCCGTACTGAGGTTGTGTGGTTGAGGAATAATGTGATATTTACAAACATGTTAAAAAGAGTGAAATTGTTTAATTTTTACCTACTTCAATATATTAGTTGGACTATGTTATTTTTGGGTCAGTTCAGGACAAAAATTGGATGGTAATTTTACAACAATAGTTATTAACTAAACTGATAAGGCTTTGAAATGTGGTCTTAGACGCAAGCTCAATTAGGTGAAAGAGGAACTCATAGCTGACTGACATATTTTCCTTGGCCGTCAAGTAGTTTGAATCAATAGCATTGGATTTCTAAATAATATGCATATCAATATTTTTGGTAACAAATTTTTCTTCAATACACCAAACTTTAGCTGTTATTTTTCACATAAACCGATAGATCATCACTTTTAAACTTAGTTAATAGCTTATAAAAATAGACAAACCCTATCGAAGAATCTTGATTTGGCCCTATTTGCGAACATGGTCGCTATCATTTGTTTCTCACTAAAATTGATTTCAAGATTTATTAAATATCCAATTAGATTACTGTATTTCTGAAAACTTGGCTTTTATCTTAGTCAAGTTTTGTCCCAAGTTTCTTGATTGGGTTCTATTTGCTTACAGGTTCGCTATCATTTGTAACTAAGAAAAGACAACTGGTCTCTTTATGTTGATTATCAGTCAGAGTGAAAGGTAACAGTAACTTGTAAAATTAGAAATAATGTCAGGTCAGGTGAAAACCAGTTTTACTCTAATGAAAATACTGTTAGCTCATAAATATTGATGGTCAAATAGTCAGTGGTCAGTTTGACATAAACTGGACTGAACACAATACTGTGCAAGATTTGAATTTAACATTAAAATTGCATTAAAGAGTGTGGAGCTAAAAATTAATAAAAACTCTTAAAGGCCTTTCTTTTAGCATTAAATGAGGATTCAGAACTGTTGTATTAACATTTTGCAAGAACTAAGCTCTGATATAAATTTTATTATCAAAGTTCCTTAAAAATCTTTTTTTTCTTTCTTCAAAAATATGACTGGCAATTACATATGACTTAACATCCCTAAAATGTTAGACAGAGAGTATAGTTTATCTTTAAAGATATGATTATATTCAGCCATATCAGATCTCAAATCAAACACAACTGTCCTGATTGGTTGAGAAAATAAACTGACATAATAATATTATGTATATTACATGTTTTATATTACAAGCTAAAGATACACTTGTATCCAGCAACATCATATCTCAAACATGACTGGCAAATACAGGTTAAACAACAGCACTGATTAATATTATGATATATATTACACCAAAACTGTGGTGACCAGGTGTTATATAAAAACTATAATATATACTGTTGTTTAAAGTTAAAATAACAAAGAAGAAGAGTGATATCCCGGAGATATAGACAGAGATTTACTAGTATTTTACAAACACCACACCTTAGTATACAAATACATCATCCAATAAATACACAATTTGGTTTGTTCAG